TTGCAGGCAGGGCAGATGTTTCGGAAGGCATCAGCGGATTTGAGGTTTGGACGACCTGCTTGTGGCTTGGATTAAGACTAGACTATACTATACTATAGGAGCATCCGCAGATGAAATGTCATGATGTGATATATATATATATATATGCAATTACATTGGTAGCGATTGCCCCTATGAGACATGCTCCGATCTGGTGGATGATTATGTTATGTATATGCGTTTGATCATAATATCGATTTTGTGTTGGAAATTGCACTCCCTGAAACATTCATGGATGTGGAAATTGGGCCTGCTGAAACATTGAGCTGATGCTGGGGTCGCATGGTTGTCCTGTTTGAAGTTTGTGCGTAATTGTTGTTAAACTTGGTGCTATTTGCCCCAACCTTGGGACATGTTGTGTCCATTTTGGACCACCACTTGCGAAAGCCCACCTCTTTCAGACGTCCAGCATTCACCCTCCAAAACCGCTGTGGAACTGAAAACGTGAGCCGTGAGCGCCGTGAGCCGTGACGCCTCCGCAGGACCCTCCGTCCCGCTGGCGGACGCGCGTGGCGCGCTTGCCCTGGCGGCGCCAGGGTAGCTTTTGGCCGCTTGTCTCAGTGCGGCCGCGTTGTTGGGGAGCTCCTGTGGTCGGCGTGAGTCCTCGACACCACATCAAAGCCGTAGCAGCCAAGCCCTTTTTCGGAGCATCAAGCTTTTGGCTGGGCATGGAGTATTGGGAGCAGGCGAATGAAAGGGGGGATCTTACGGATTCTTGGGTCATGAAGGGGCTACTCAGATCTAATCTATGCCCAAAGAAAAAGACTCTCGTTTTAATGGTTTGATCCTTTGACATCAGCCAATCAACCCGGGTTGTCTTGACAGGCCACCCCAAAGAACCTTCAGCACTCTCCCCTTTTTTTCTTTTGGTTCTTCGGGTGTCAAGTCAAGCGTCCTGGCATCGAGTTGAGCAGAAAGCAGGGTTAAGAAAGCGATCCCAGACATGGACTGTTTGGGATTGACATCTTGACCGAGAAAAGGCCAGTGATGGTTGACTATCCATACCCAGACACGACCCTGGACCATATTGAATAGGGTCGGACCCGAATCCTCGGGTCAGGGGTTGGATGCGTTTTGAGAGGCCAAGAGCCCAGAATCCGGAGCGTTTGGGTACGAGTGTTTGGGGATCCGTATATCTCCAGGGGCCAGGGGCCGGTTGCACTCATTGTATCAGCTGGCCGGTTCTAGACTCGCTCCCAGAGCCCCAGACACCCAGCTTTTTTCTTCGTCTTCTTCTCGCAGCTCTCGCATGTGTGCATGCTAGCTGAGACAGGGCCATACGTGTGTGACCCAACCTGTCCAGAAGTGATCTGAACAGTGCTCACTGCACTCCCTCAGCATTGCCAAGAGGGCACTGGCCCAACATCGGCACTGCCTCTCCCCACTCAATCAAAAAGGAGAAAACAAAATCACGAGCGAAAGGGAGCAAACAGGCCGACAGAGCGCCAGGACCAAAACCAAAAAAATATAGTTTTTTTGAGCATATCAGAAAGTTGATCAAGAAATTGCTGAGCATCACGTTCAAGGCCCCCCTTCCCCCCTTCGGTGCTTGTCCATGCAAGACCTTTCCACTGTGTTGCTTCACGTGATTCTCAAAAAATTGCAGCACGGGCCGGACTGATTCACAAGTCGCAAGGCATAACTTCATCTTTGTCTGATCAGGACACTTCTTCAGTCTACAGACATGAACATAGCAGGACAGCCGCCGGTGTTGAGCAACTGTCATGGACATGTCGCTGAAGCCCAGGCCATTCAAGGTGTCGATCAATGCCATCCATGACAATGCGGCTGCCCATCAGGGGGGGCGCCACCAGAAGACTGCGCTTTCTCCTGCTCTTCATTGAAGATCTTCGTGGCCTTCGACAAAGGCATTGTCTTTAGATGTCTTTAGGAAGCTGTACCGTGAGAAGGCTTGCAGCCTGAAGCTCACGTACATCCATGGCATTCTTGAGGGCGAGCTTAGTGAGAATCTGAATTCCCTTCGGAAAAATTTCTCACTACCGGCAGCTTGGCGCTTGGGCAGGCTGCCATCCGCCTCCGGTAAAGGTCGGGCCCAAGAAGAAAGAGACATGAGCACTGGGTCAGCCCGATTCAGTCTAACTTGCTGCAGGCGGCTGCAAAGAAACATGTGTGACAACATGGTCCACAAGTTGATGTACATTCTCAAAAACTTCTTCACATACTCGGCATTGCAAAATTTTAAGGAACTTCAATGTCAAAAAAAAGATACGACTGCCAGGACCGCTGCATCGGCCCTCTTTGAGGGTGCGGCGGAGATGATTCCGCGGCGGAAAAACACATTCTTGCACCAGGGACATGCATTTGTAAGAGCCACCATAGATATGTCAGACATTGCATCATGTCCGCCGCCTTTGGTTGAACTCTTATATATGCGTAGCCAAAGCTTTGGCAGTGCCAAAAGCCACACCACATATACTTCCATCCGCCAGTGTGCAGTCACAAACAAAGGGTCGCTCACGCTCCGGAGAAGGGCTGGAAGGAATGACCTGCGGGACAGGAGGAACCCAGCCCGGTGGAGGAATACATACTGGATCTTACGTGCCACGCAGCACAGACACATCCACGGCCAAAAAATCAGGAGCAAAAGAAGTAAAAACAAAAAGCACCCGCTCACCCAAATAATCCAGCAGTGATTGACCCGCATCAATGTGACGCAGACTTTGGATGTCAGTGTAAAATTGTTTCGCCCAAGGGTTGGCGTGTGGCAAAACACAACCCTGAAGATCAACAGCTTCACGATGCTCGCATCCAAGCTTCCCAAACATTGCCATGAGAACGCACTTTGTGTTTATACTTGTCTCGTGCCAATTGCTGATACCATTGAAGCCGTCGAACTTGTAACTCCAGCTCGCATGGACAGAGCCCAAGCCATTTCCAAACAACTTAGACGCCCAGCTCACCCGAACACATCAGACTCGAATCCTTTGGGAGCTGTTGGCGGTCGAAGACAGATCCCCAGGTCCTGTCAGGTTTTCAGGCACCTGTCGGACTGTTTGGAGCGGCTGATGGGCCTCATCATTACGTCACACAGCGAGATGCGAAGCCGGCGCACGACGTGTGTATCGACGTATCGACAGGTTTTGCCGCATCAAAAATACGAGCATTGCAGATTGATGGTGGTTTTGACCATCAACTTCTGTCGGATTTGCTTTGGAACAACAATCCGATATCGAAGTATATCTGTCGGTGCTGGATGTTTGGCTTCTGGAAATGCATGCAGTCAGCTCATCGCATGTTTGGGCACCTCATCCCGGATTTGCGAAGCTGAAGCCACTTCCGTTCTTCACGCACACGCGGGAGCTTAGGCCTGAAGCAGAGCGGAGCGACGACAGGCA